CAAAAATCACTGAGCACACCCTTCACCCAGGCAGTTCTTTGGACGGATCTCAGACATACCATACATATATCATCTGAAAAAAAAGGACGAGGCGGTTTCGGTGGTCACTATTTCCTTGTACCATCTTTCCATCTATAAAATATATGATTTTTTTAGATTTAAAACTCGTAATTGTCCAGAAATCACTAAGCACACCTTTCATTAGATACTTCTATGAACGGACTCTAGGCAAACAATTTATTCTTCCCTGATCAGGTGGGAACGTTGTACCACGGAACTTTCCTCGCTGACTTGCTGTGAAGCTACAGAACTACTATTTTTTCCCTCCTGGAAGCTCGTGAATGCCTATGAATCTTCTTCCCCCTTCCCGATCCACAAACAGTTCCCGTACAATTACCTCCTTTGCTTAACCTTACCTCACTGTTGATTTTCTCGGCTTTTGACGAAGGGGGTTACCTTGATCCCGGCTCAGGGGTGAAAGGAAGTGAGCAAATTTTCACACTATCGCACCTATGCCCCCAACCCCGTAACTCACTTTGCAGAAGTTGAGACCGTTAAAATAATAGATATTTTCAGAAACGGTCATACAAGTCGTGATTAGCATGGTTTCCCCCCCCCCCCCTCCCCTTCACCCTTCGGGCCTACTCTGAACCGCGTAGCACAAAGCTTGCAAATTGATAAACAGATATCAGCCGATAACGAAAAGCAGCCTATGATATCTGCACTACCCCAAAGAGTATGCGTGCAAAGTTTGTTCGCATCGGTCCGGAATGGAATTTTCGTTTGAACATGCATACCGTAACACACACACACACACACACACACACACACACACACACACACACACACACACACACACACACACAAAAACACACACAAACACACACCACAGACACACACACACACACATACACACACACACATACACACACATAAACACACACACCACAGACACACACACACACACCATACACACACAAACACACACCACAGACAAACACACACACACAAACACACACCACAGACACACACACACAAACACACACACCACAGACACACACACACACAAACTCACAATATATACGCAAATACAAGGCGGAAGGGCTGATTTCGGCATACAGTATTTGACCGTATGACCGTATCCCTGCCTCTCCATTTCCAAGAAACTCTACTGCTTCGAAAAAAGAGCCTAATGAATAATAGAATAATATTTCGAATGGAATATAAGTAAGATTGTCATTACTTTTATTGAAATCTTCAGTAAAGTTATTTATCAGATCACGTCAATGTAAAATTGCTGATATCTTAGTACCTAGTATCCATGGCGAGCTATTCTCGCTTTCAAAAGGTTATTAGAGATGTAGAAGCCTTCTTTGAGGCGTTGATTTCAAATTAGCTGTCCATGCATTGCGATGCTGAACTGATATAATAAAGCTCTAAACAAACAAGTAAAAATTAGGAGTATTTTTATTCTAGCTATCCAAAACTAGTAAAACGAGTATTTTCTTTTAGTTGGAAATGGATACTTAAATGACGAAGTAGACTTGTTGAAACGCCGTTGTGAAACATTTGAACTTGCTGTCAGCTGCGCCACAAATGACCGCACTCCCGCTGCATTTTTTTTTATAATGATAGCATAACTGCAGTACTCGTATACCAACTCAGGCACTTTTTCCGACGGCGCGCTCGCCTTCACCGTGCAAGCGCTTTTGCCTCCCGCCGCCCGTAGGACGAAGGCACGCAGCTCGCTCGACGAAGGCGCGCGCCCACTCGCTCCTTCAAAAGCGTTAGACGCCTCAGCGCTCCAATAACAAAATTCACATTATGCTAGAACATTATGATCATAGGTCCATTGTCAAACATGTATGCAAGCATCACGATGACAGATTTATTAGTGAAATATCCAAAAAACGACATAATTTTGCACTTAAGAAGTCGACAAATAGCAAATACAGCAACACCTATAATTTGTACGGAGAAGATGGTGAAAGAGAAGAAGGAGAAAAAACAAAGAAAAACATTAAGTGAAAAAACATGAATCTAAACTCATATTTTTCGAGAATTGATATCTGTATGAAGGAAATGAGCAAGAAAGACAGTGTTGAAATGGTAGGTATGAGATGGCTTAGCTGGTCTCAATGCTTTGGCACTAAAAGACAGGTCAAATGATTACGTACGCCTAAGCATGCAAAATATCTTACCTTATTACGTATCCATGATCCTGATTCATATCATTGAGAGCGTATATCTCGCCTGAAATTTATCCTTTACCAAGTAGAGTTTCATTAGTCTTGGACTTATAGAACAAATTAAGGAGATCTGAATGATTGCTGCGGCTGATTGCGTTTGTGGTTCTGTCGTCGTATTTGTTCTGTCTTTCATCAAGTCAAATCTTCACAAGCTTACCACTTTTTTTCAAATCCTTGCCTACGAATGTTGCCCTTTGAAAGCTAACAGCTACAATTAGGACAACACTTTTCGGTAAGTTTTTGCAAGAAACAATCAGATGGAACCAACTGGAAAGATGACGTGGCAGTGGCGCTCAGCAAAAATCTACATGGAGTTTTTTGGGAAAAAAAACTCGAGCACAGCGAAAATACACAGACGTAACCGTTTTGTGCTGATGCACCATATCGAAAACGATAAATTCTCATGCAATTATGCGAACAGCAAAACGTGGGATTATCCATGCGAAATGGAATGGCAGTTTACAAGTTTAGTCTGCAAAAAACAATTATTCACAAAAAAGCAACAAAAAACAAATCAGTTTAGATCCGTTTAGGAAACGGGACACCCAACAATTGCACAATTACTTTCGTAAGATTTTCTTTGAACAAAAACGAGTCAAAAGACCAATACATGTCTATAAGAAACTCTCAAAATCTCCTTCCAACCTCAGCGATATGTCTGGTCGCAGCATGCGCGGCGCGACATCGCTGATTTTGCCAAAATCGCAGCGATTATCGCCGAGAACTATGCCCTAGCCAAAAACGGTCTGCGATCCGTCGCGGCGGATGACTACCACAACTGCCGTGGCGGACACATGGGCTCGCAATTAGTGCGCGACAATATCTCACAGAAATCGCGGCGCAATGAAATTGTGACCGCTATGCCCTAGGCCTTACGCGTGAGGAAGTCTTGTCGAGTGTGTGTCCTTACACGTTTGTTAATACGCCGCTCGCATGGTCACTCAAGATGGCGCGCCGCCCGCGGAAACCAAGGCACACCGCTCGCAAGTCAGGATTCGATGGCGCGCCGTCCTTCGGCATCGATGCCACGCTCACAAATTTAGGCCGCCGCTGGCCAAATAGGCCAAGTAGGCCCATGAAGGCACGCGGGTCGTCGGAAAAGTGTTTAAGATGTGATGTGCTAACATGGTCAAACTTGCAAATTAAAAAAAAGGCTTCCACAGATAAGATTTGCACTTTTTTAGCATTCATCCTTGACTTACAAGGAAATGATCAGAAGTCGAAATGGCCAATCCATTTAAGCTGCATACCATTAGATGCAGCATAAAACGCTGACTCTAAATCTGTCTTTCTTATCTGCAGGGCGTTTTTGTGGACGAAATTATAAGCCGTCGAAGGCCATTATTATGCTAAAAAATTGTGCGTGTAAAGTGCAAAATTGGCCGTACAAAATCAATCTCGGCTCAGTGTTGGACCAAACCATGCAGCTAGGTCACTTCATATGACCCTAAAGTTGAGCTGAAAGAGCAATAATGTGCCTAATTTTGCAATTTGTATACGTTTTTCTCGCAGTAAAGCTGCTCATAACTTCGCCTACAAAGGCGCTTTGCAGATATGGACGACAGATTTGATATCAGCATTTTATGCTGCAGCGAATAACATGCAGCTTGTATGGATTAGCCACTTCGACTTCTGACCACTCCCTTTATATTAGGTTACATCATAAGTTTCGTTACACTTGAAGAAGAAACCTTCGCAACTTTTTCTAAAGTTCTTCTTCTCATCCCAAATTGAGTAGAAGGCTGTAACTTTTCGAATACATGCCACACTTGGAAAACCCAATTTTTGAATTTTTTGATTTTTCCGATTATTTTTGACAAATTTCTAACTTGCATTATTGAACAGTCTAGCCTTCCATACTTTTCTCATATTAGTACTAATGTCCCTAGAAATCCAACAAAAATCCGAAAGCATAAAAAATAAGGATGAGAGATTTTTTAGAAGCAAAAGAAAAATGGAGATTTGAGTGCCGCCACAAAACTGCCTTTATTTCTCTGTAAACCATACATGTAAAGGTGCAATTGATGCCAATAGATACTCCTTTGTCCACTGCTCATGTGTGCCAAATATTAGACTCTGTCAAAGTTTCTAGAGTTTTTCAGAACAAAACGAAAAAAAATTTTAAGTACTTATATTAGGTTGTCTCATAATTAATGCACGTTTTATGAATTTCAATTCTAATCAAGATAACTCTTTTCCAAAACCATCTTTTTGAGCGCAATAAAAATCACTGCAAACAACAAACCTTTGGCTATAGAATGCATGCCTTTGTTGGATTGCAGCTACTTTAGAAAGATTTTATAGCCTAAAAATTCCCCGAACATTTTTTTAGAAACCTAAATTTTGAGGAAGCTTAACTTTCGCTTAAATGTACAGGATCGCGCGGACTTAGCTCATGATATAGCCGATGATCCGTTGTGCAATGGAGTGAAGTTTGAATTTCACGGCATATTTCTGTGAGAATTACAAAAAAACTGGAAATACCCACATTTTCTGTATTTTGTAAAATCCAAAAAACTGCCTTTTTGGGATTTTTTAAATTTTTTCTCTTTGAAACTCAGTATAGCAAATTTTGCTAGGACTCTTACCTTATTCCACTAGTAAGAAAGCGGTGCCCTTAGTAAAATAAGCTCCGCAAATGCACTGAGACGAGAAAGTCATTGGCTGCAAACTCTTTAACACCTTTGCATTATTCCGAACAACTGTAAATTTTTTGATTCCGCCGTCAACTCGAATCATTTTGCTTTGCAGTGTCCATAACTGTTTGCTTTTTCGTGTTCTGGCTACCATTTCACATGCAACGGTTACTTTCACTTATACTGAAATATCATGGAGGAGAGGAGAATCCAAGCATAAAAACCGCACACTACATCTTCCACAGTATATCAGGTAGAATAGCACTTACTACACTGTCGTTATCTATACGGCATTTCAAGGTTGCTGCTTCTATTTGAATTGTGCAGCTAATCCCTTTCTGTTCAACATGTTCTCAGATAGCTTTCGCAAAGCCTCTGTATCTACGGGTAAAAGATTAGTGAAGAAAATTCAATCAATTTGGTGAATCAGTGCATGTTTCTCTATTGTTACAGATGCCTTTATCATGTTATCATCGTGTTCTTGTAAATTTGTAATCTGCCGTTCGTGTCTTACGTCTTTGTACTGCTGTTTCCACTGTATATATTTGAGGTACAAACCGAGTGATCTATTTTTCAGCCAGTAAAAGTACAGCTGATGATTTTCATTTATATTCACCGTCATACACCCTTTCAATGATGCTATCAAGCGATAGTAAGAAAAATGACAAAGAAACCAAGTTTTCTTTATTGTATTATATTAGGTTGGCACGAAAGTTCTTACGTAATTCAAAGAAAATTCAATAACTTTACAGGAGCAGACCAAAACTGATGGTTCGATATCTCAAAAATAAAGGAAGGTTTAAGCTCTATAATGGATGTTTAAGCTTGACAATCTATGAGTCGGCTCTCGAGAACGAAGCTTTCAAAAATGACGATTCAAATTTGGCGATTTTGAGTTTGATGCTAGAAAATCAAGGAGGGTCGCTAGCTAGTCTGAAAAAATTTGTAAAAATTCTCTACTTACTATACATCCATATACCACTTTGGCAGGCTTCAATCTCGTACAGAAATGTAAAAACAAAAAATTCTTAAAAAATGTCATTTTACAGAAAAAGCCCCTTATTACCGCACCTTTTTCAGCAAAAACACTGTTTTACACTTCAAAGAACTTCATAGTGTTCTAAATAAACACCATGTCTGATTTCTGGTTTTAAACCGTGTTTCTGTGAAAAAACTACAACGATAAGGAGACTTTTCCTGTAAAGTGACATTTTTCAAGAATTTTTTGTTTTTACATTTCTGTACGAGATTGAAGCCTGCCAAAGTGATATATGGGCGTATGGTAAGTAGAGAATTTTTATAGATTTTTTTAGACTAGCTAGCGACCCTCCTTGATTTTCTAGCACCAAACTCAAAATGGCCAAATTTGAATCGTCATTTTCGAAAGCTTAGTTCTCGAGGGGCAACTCATATAATGTCAAGCTTAAACATCTATTATAGAGCATATACCTTCTTTAATTTTTGACATACCGAACCATCAATTTTGGTTTGCTCCTTGTAAAGTTATTGAATTTTCTTTGAATTACGCAAGAACTTTCGTGCCAACCTAATATTAGGTCCGAAAGATCTTGCGCACAATTTTCAAAAATTCATAACTTCTAATTTTTCCAACCGATTTGACTGCTTTTATTTTTGTGTGAAAGAATAAGTCATGCTCTTTATAATGACATCTTAATTGCTTACTAATGATTACCTGTTGCATAGATAGGAGCGATAGAAGGAAATTAGTCAAAATTTGAATTTTCTGTGTAGGGTCATAAAAACCAGAAACTTGCAACAAAAATCGGAGCAGTCGGTATTGTAGGTTCTTTCATCAGCTCTTTCTAACAGTGCAAAGTTTGCGCCGATTGAGCGTTTCTATGAAAAGTTATGATTTCCCTGAAAAATGCCAAAATAAATCAAATTCGCCCTTTTGTATTGCTTGCTCGAAAATCATAACTTTTTAATGAGACGCTCAATCGGCGCAAACTTGCACTGTTGGGAAGAGCTGGTGAAAGAACCCAAAATATCGACTGCTCCGATTTTTGTTGAAAGTTTCTGACTTTTTATGATTCTACACAGAAAATTCAAATTTTGAGTGATTTTGATTTTAAGCTTCCATCTCCTTCATTTGTACACTTTAACGAACAGTTCAGGTACAGATACAAAGAGCATGAGTCCCTCTCTTAAGCAAAATTTTGTTCAAACAAATTCGTTGCGTTTGTAAAATCGTGCGCAAGAACTTTCGGAACGACCTAATATATACAGTGACCGCCAAAAAGTTGCGGACAAGTCGCCCTCCTGTTTTCAGTGCTCATTTCGGATGGCAAACAAAGATGAAAAGATGGTTGGATTGCATGCAGTGATAGAGCTCATCAAGAGCCACAACCCACACATTGCCCTTTCCGGAAAACATGTATTGTGAAAATTTCAAAAATCTTTTTCTAAAATAAGTCCGAAAATGGCCGCGTCACCGGATTTTGAAACATAGGTTACGCCAGTGCGCACTCCTGAAATTGAGAAATACTGCGATTTTCCCCACAAATTTCGCCTGTCTCGGCAAAAAAAGACAAGTAATAGAAAGAGGAGAAAAATCTGCTGAAGTGTTTAACATTTTATGTTCTACGAGGTCAAGATAGGCTGAATGTATAATTTGGTCACTTCAAAAAATAAATCGTAGAAAATTCGACAAGCCGTAGGGCTACAAAAAATTGCTTCTCTTGGCAAAAGGTTTGCCCTATCTGCAGGTTATTAGGGCTCCTCCGAAAGTCTCATACAAAAATTTTGAAAATTAGCGAAAGTTGGACATGGTAAAAACGAGTGGTTGTAATTTCCAGCGAATATCTCGTCACTCTCGCAACGTAACACAATGGGAGTTCATAGCTGGAAAGAGAAAGAAATTCTGCATCGGATACATTTTAAAGTGTTGATTCATTTTTATTCTAGCGTGTTTGACGATGGATTGAAAAAAACTGACAAAACTTTCGGACCCCCTAATATATCTCTCTACTATGCTGAGATATACGTCTTGCACTAATTCTCCAGAAAATCACAAGTTTTTCCAGGAACTATCTTTATTGTCTGGTATTTCTACTAACTAGAGAAGGATCCCATTTCTTAGCCGTGATCTGAAACAAAATGCATATCAATGCAAAAAAAATTGACTGAAACATGAGTAGTATTAATTATTTGGTATTCTATTCAAAACCTATTCACTCCTGTAGTACGCTGTAGTAGCTTATAATTTTTGTGAAAATATGACATTTGCCGATCTAGCGTTTTTATTCTTTACCTTGTTCAAGCGTAGTATTGTCTCATTTTACAAAATTTGCCTCTTGAATACGACACTAATCCTTCTATATCCCCATTACGACGCCCTACCCTGCGCTCAACTCCGACCTTGGTAGATCCCCAACCAAGTGTATATCCATATTTCATTTGAGGGTTTGAGGGGAACGGCTTATGCAACTAACTTCTTGGCGCAACTTTCTTTGGAGAATAATTCTTTTAATCATTTCCTAATTGTAAGAAGCCCATGGATTGCAGATTTGAAGGCAAACAAATTCTGATCTCTTAGGTGTGAACAGAAACCCACTTCTCAGCTCAACCTGCAACTGATCCGACAGGCCAAAATGCCTAAATTCGAAGAACTGTGGTTTGACCCCCAATTCCTTGAGACGTCTGCACACCGCATCAGCTCGTCCTTGCGCGCACTCAATCCATGTGTTAATGACCTAGGTTAAAAATCGGGAATCGAGACCTTGAATAGGGTAATTGCCTTTGATTAGTGAAACCTAACACTATTCTAACTATGCGCTCTCAGTTGACTTGATAAGTTATACACCCAGACTTCTGAGCCATATTTTCAGAAATTTTAAATTTTTCCAAAAACCCTTTTAGCAGGTAGGGAATGCATTGAAATGAGACTTTCAAACTGCTTCTCATAACCAATACGACTACGGTCCTTTCCTAGTCAAGTTTTACCTTTTTCAATAACTCTAGGCTATTCTATGAAAGATGTCGTTTTTCGTGACCGAGAAACACCTGCACTCATAAGTTTAATCATAAAATGAAGCAATATGGTCTGGAAAACTGATTAAGGCCATGCAATACGATTTTCTGATAAGCACCTATGTTCAATGCTATCACAAAACGGTCATTTGTCAAGACTGATGGTAGATAGGGAATGCGGAATCACCTTACAAAAAGGGCAGATTATGTTTTTTCTTGCGGTCTTGTTTTGTTTAGTTTGAGTCATGTCGCGGCTCTTAGTAGCACTAGAGTATAGCTGAGCTGCTGATGTAGCAAAGAACTTTATGAACTTTATTGTTTCTCTCTTTGTCTAAACAGCAAAATACTCTCAAAAGTCTCAATCATCACACAAGCTGAATTGATGGCATGCACTCCGATGGAAGGGAAAGGGAAAAAGAAAGACGTGTGGCCATCATTTACCCATCAGATAAGGATGTCTTTTCGTAATGACAGATGACTGACGGATGCCATAAATGACTGCCAAAGAAGGCAATAACTCAAATACTTCTTTTTAAAAATTATATGCGGAGCGAGACAGCTATTTTCATGAAAATCGATGAAGAATTCATAATAGCGGATCTATTTAGGGCACCATCCATGAGAAGACGTTTGGGCGGAAACTCTATGATACTTGCCGCGACACTAAGGCCCGTATTTAAGTTCGTGCAGTTCATATGTCTTGAACCAAAAGCTCCAACGGAGGTTGATGAGGTAGACTTACGAGCGGCTCTCAGCAGCACACTATCATGCTGTAAGAATGCAAGGTGACTCGACAGGCAGAGTCCGTTCAGGTGCCGTGCTAATCTCAACGAGTTCTGTAAGAACAACGTACGTTTCGACTTGATCTTAAAGGGTTAGTGCGCAAGCGATGAAATTGAGAAAAAAATCCCGCAATTTTTTGTGAGTAACTCACAATGAAGTCAATGACGTAACTGTGCGTTACGAAAACGCGAAAACTTCACAATGTCGCAAACTTACGGATAGGGAGGAGTGATGAACAGCTGAATGCCCAAAAACAAGTAAAAAGGTTTTATTTTAAAGTTTGCTTCAATCATAAAAATGCGAATAAAGTTTATTTTTTAAGATTAAAAGAAAGTTTATTTTTAGAATAAAAGTTTATTTTTTCCTCCGATTTTTGTCTCAAAATATTTATTTTCAATGGGAAATTATGCTGGAATGTTATGATTTCGTTTTGATAGCCTACGTCGTTGCATCGATGGTGTCGCGCTTGTCGAAGATTGTGCCGTGACGCAGCAAAAATCGTTCCGCAAACCGGCTTCGAACCACGGCCAACGACGGTCGCAATGCATGCCCATCTGACCACACCTGCGCAAATTGTACTGCGTTTCTTTCTTGAGGAGCGCACCTTTACAAGGTCTACAAAGCGATCAGCATCCAAATTTCTACTGACTGGATACCGAACTGAGGCGCCTTAGGTTCACCTTAGGCATGCTTCAGAAAACCTGATTTGACCGAGTTCCACTACGGGCCTAAAACACTTTT